GCTTGCCATAAGCATCACACAAATGTCTGTTCATTTGAGTTTTTGAATGTAATTGATCAGTAGAGAAGTATCATTCCAAACTCAGTATGACTGTAGTTAATGGCAAGGAAGATGGACCAAGGAGGATGATGCAGTATTTTTAGAGATGCATTTAGTGAGTAGATGCTAGTAACGTGTATATAATTTGGGTCGTATTGAGACATGTAATAGAGTTTTTCATGCAGGCACCAAGTATTTATGGAGCACCCACTGTGTGTCAGGTACTGTCCTAGGCATCGTGGTCTTGGCTGTGAGTGAAACAAGTTCCTGTCCTTAAGGGGTCATTAAGCTTCACTATGTGGAGGGAGAAAATTAACAAATAAACTTGGATCTATAAATGCTGTGAATAAGTAATGCAGGTGAAGAGGACTAGGGGTGTAGAAGGAGGGGGATTTGCCATTTTGTGCAGGGTGGTCCATGAAGGCTAGTAGTAAAGTGATAGTTGAGCAGAGACCTGAGTGAAGAGAGGGAGCTGGGCAGGGGGACCACAGGGCAGAGCACCTGGGAATGAGCATTCCAGAAGGGTCCAGAAATAGCCAGTAGGCCATGGAGTCTGGATCATGTCAACGGAAGCAGAACAGGCAGAGTGGAGGGTGGGGTGGCCACAGCAGGCCACGTCCCAGGACTGGTGAGCCACTGTCAGGACTTGGGAGTTTACTCTGAGCAAGGTGGAAAGCAGCTGGAGAGTGTTGGTGGAGAAATGATAAGAATTTGTATTTGAACTGGTTCTAGAAAGATGTTAGATTCCAGCAGGCCAAGAATAGGAAAGAGGACATTCTGAGAATGGGGACAGACTTGGAGGAGAGTACTCTCTGCTCACGGCATGGGAATGACCTGGTTGGCTGGAGCAGAGCATGCTGGCAGAGCAGGGCCGGGGGAAGGATGGAGAGGTTGGTCTGGGGAGGCTCTTGACCTCCAGGCCTTGTGGTTTCTACTTTACACCGTGCTCATAAGAACCCTTGGAGACAAGTGTTCAGAGTACAGGGGAAGCCAGAGGAGATTTTCTTCCAAGGAAGGAACTGATTAGACCTGTGCATTCAAAATCACAAGTCCAGCAGTTGTGTGTTGGCTGGGTTAGAGAAAGGGGAATGTCGGAGAAAGGGAGTCAGTGAGAGCCTTATTGCAGCCGGTGGATAAGGGGTTCTGATCATGCCACGAATGACCCATTGGGAAGGAAATGCTGGATAATGTGGTGCATCTGTTACTCCAGAATATTTTGCAACTGGTAAAAAGTAAATAATATATTCAGATATATAGACTTGGAAAGATGCTCACAATATATAGTTCAGTGATAAATGCAAATTGCAGAGTAATGCATATGAAATCATCCCTTTTTTCCATCAATAAAATCCCCCGTGTGCCTGTGTGTGTTTGTGTGAGCATGAGCTTGGTGTCAGTCAGCACCATCTCAGCTGTGCTTGGGGACTCAGGAGCTTACTGCCCAGAGAGATTATGGCTACCTCTCATGACCACAGGTCCATGTGGGTCAGCTGAGGGACTCTGCCCCTCACTTGAGATCAAGGCTGGGAGAAGCTGTAACCTCATGTTTCCATGATTGCCAGGAAAGGAAGGGGACTTGGCAAGTTGTGTGCTAGCCGTTAAAGTTTTCACCTGGAAAGGACATATATCACTTGTGCTCACACTTCATTTGTCAAAGCAAGCTGTATAGCCTCAACTAACTTAAAAGAAACTGCTCTGTGCAGTTGCACCATGCTCCCAGAAGGAGGAAAGCATCTTTGGCTTTCCAAATACTTGGCAAAGAGTCCTAATGATTACCAGAATCATGGAGAATGGGGAGGAATGGGCAAAAATGAGGAAGGATGCACACTCCACTTTCTTTGCTGGAGGGAAGGGGAGAAGGAGTGAGAGAAGGTATGGAAGCATATTTCCTGTCAGATAAGAAGATAATGAACCAGCCGAATGGAAGTAAGGGTGGAGAGGAGACAGACACGCAGTGCACTGGAGTCCTAAAGGAAGAAGACTGTGTGGAGACGCAGGAGCATTGTCAGAGGTGATGCTCAAAGGTTTGCACCTGGGTTGTTTGGAGACTGAGACATGGGCAGAATTGAGTTATCCTGCAAAAGGAACAAATTTAAGAATGTAAAGGAGAAGCTCTTAGTTGGTTTAAAACTTATGGAGCTTGATGTTCAAGTAGACCTGTGGAAAGATATGTATGTCTTGCACAAGGCAAATCGCAGGCTAGAGTTCAGAGAAGCACTAGAAATCACCTCATCAGCATGAGTGCTACCACTTCAGATATTGGACTATTCCGGGGTTTCTGTGCAGGGTCTCAGTAACCCGCTCAATGGCTCGTCTCTTCAGTGTCTGGACAGAGACATATCCAAGGGGAATCTCAGTCTGTCCCCGTGATAACATGGAAACCCAAGAGACTGCATTAGATTTTTTGGCATTTGTTACCCATACATTCTTTAGATGTGCCAAATCCATTTGGGGTTTACATATGGCCCTATTTAAGTTGCTTTGGAAAACAGGCTAAAAAAAATTAGAGCCCTCTGGGATTAATAAGAAGTGAAGAACGTTTCCCCGTGGGGAACCTCACTGGACATTCTTCCTCCCAGTGCAGCCTGTGGAATTTTGCCCAGGCACCGCTAGCTGAACTCCCGAAATGCTGCCACTAAAATCCAAAACTTAATTTAATGTGACTTGCTTAATTGACCTGTAAAACTTTCATTTTGTCATCTAAACATGAATACTTAACAGGAGCAACCATATTCAGAAAGCTGAATGTCTATTCTCCATTTGGTTGCTGTAGATAAGTTTTCCAAGCACTTCCATTTCAAAGCTCAAAATGGTTGCAGAAGTGTATATTAATTGAAGTAATTAGAGTTTTAAAACTGTGCAAAATTAAGCTGTCCCAAAGCTATGATAATTTCAAAGAAATGCAAAAGATTTTGCATTAGAAGAAAAATATGTAATTGTTAAAGAGAAGTTTTCTTTTGTAATTGATTGTCAATCCTGATAATGGAACATATTCGTTTAATACCTATTATAGGATATAAGGGTTTTGTGTAAATGCTATGTGTAAAAATAACAGTATCTTAATTGAAAATATTTCCTGTGCATTTGCTGAATATTAGGGGTTTCAAAGTAAGTTAAATTTTCTCAATAAGCAGTAACTGTGCAACAATTGTTTTTCTCATTCTTCAAAGAAACTTTTCCTATAGCTCAGTGGTTCTCAACCAGAGGCAATGTTACTCCCTGGAAGACATTTGATGATGTTTGAGTATATTTTCAATTGTCACAACTTTGAAGGGGGGAGGCACTACTGGCTTCTAATGGGCAGAAGCCAGGGGGTGCTGCTAAACATTCTGCCGTGCACACACCCGTGCCTCTGACTGAGCTATCCAGCCCCAGTGTCGAGTGCTGAGGCCGAGAAACCCTGCTACGCAGAGTCTGTGTAGATGGTGACTCCGTGATGTAATGTGCAGCACAGATTCCCGTGACTGTGCAGGAGGGGAACGAGCCTGGTGGCCGCCTGGGCTTCCCTCTCTAAGTGCGCTGGGAGCTGAGCCTTTTGCCCACGTCCTTCTCCTGAACCCACACCCTGATTCACGGCGGAATAGCTGGTGTGGTGTCTCCTCCTCCGTCCAGCTGTGCTGGGATTTAGGGTTCCTTAAAGTTACACGGGTCATGCTGGGAAGGCGGGGCCAGCTCTTTCCTTAGCTCCGCTTTGGGTTTTGAGTGAGGCTGTGAGGCACAGCTCACCCAACACCACGCTCCCTGTTTCCCTGGCCTTGGTCCTTTTTCCACTTGATTGATCACCTTTTTATCCTTTTCGATTTTCTTCTGTCTCTGCTTCTTTTGTAATGAAAATGCCCTGCTTTATTACCTACTAAACCATTTTCTTTTCCGTTGCAAACCTTTCTCTAAGCTGTTTTATATTGATTTTTTTTTTATTGAGGTGACATTCACATAACATAAATTAGCCATTTCAAAGGGAAGAATTCAGTGGCATGTGGTGTAATCACAGTGTTGTGCAACCATCACTCCAAAAGGACACTGTAACTGTTAGGCACTTACTTCCCATTGCCCCTCCCCACCCCCTGGCAACCATCAATCTGCTTCTGTCTCTATAGATTGCCTTTTTCTAGATATTTCATATAAATGGAATCATACAATATGGGGTCTTTTGCCCTAGCTTCATTCACTTATCATAATGCTTTTGAGGTTCACCCATGGTGCAGTATATATCAGGACTTCGTTCCTTTTTATGGCTGAGTAGTATTCCATCGTATGGATACACCACATGCTGTTTATCTGATCATTCGTTGATGGACATTTGTGTTGTCTTCACCTTTTGGCTATTGTGAGTAGTGCTATTATGAACCTGTGTGTACATGTACTGGTTTGAGCCTCTGATTTTAGTTCTTCAGGGTGTGTACTTAGGAGGAGATTGCTGGATCATATGATAATCCTATGTTTAACTTTTTGAGAAACTGCCTGACTGTTTTCACAACAGCAGAGCCATCTCTGAGCTGTTTTATTTTGTTTATTACATGTCCGTGCTCTTTGCATCTACCTTCCCTAACTCCCACAGACGACACTTGTCCACCCTCCCTGGGTCTCCTGAAACAGTTTGATGGGTAGCTTAAAGAATCCAGATGTGTGTTCGAAAGCACAGATAGAAAACCCTGAGAGTTTCAGACCAGCTTCTCATCTGTCCCCATGAAGTGCTCACATTAACCTAATGTCTGCAATGGTTTGGGTACCAAAACTCGAAATCCCCAAATTTTGAAAAAAACCTATTTTTCTCCCTCACAACAGTTACTCCTTTATTGCAATGCAGTGGATTTGTTTGAACACGCTGTCTTACTTTGTTGTGTTATTTCTTATGCGAGCACGGTTTGTGTTGTTTCGTGCAGCCTTTGGGGAAGGAGAGAGGAGGCACTGGGGAATGGGGATCCTCTGTGACTCTCGCTGTTCTTCTTTTCCACCTGTAGGTATCATTCTTCCTCTTCATCATCTTCGTGGTGTACACCATGCTGCCCTTCAACATGAGAGATGCCATCATTGCCAGTGTGCTCACCTCCTCCTCCCACACCATCGTGCTGAGCGTCTGCCTGTCTGCAACACCCGGGGCCAAGGAGCACCTAGTCTGGCAGGTGGGTACATCTCTCCCTCTGCTGGGTGACCTTCCGAGTCCTGCTGAGGATGCCCGAGCTGCCAGCACCCGCTCAGGGTGTGACTGTTGACTGGTACCTGGCAGGTGCTCCAATTCTGCTCTCTGACGTTGACTCTGAGTATTGCTAATAGGAGGTCAGGCCCATGCCACCTCCATCAGGAGGATCAGTAGTCACTTAGTAATTAGCAACAGTGAAAACTGGAAGTGGCAGTTTCCTTATGCCAACTGCTGAATGGTGGTATGATTTTGATGGTTAAAGTGGTTCTGATTATACATTATAATTCAGCTTTCTTATTTTTAGGGTGAAATCACTTATACAATTAAATTCATAGTTCTCCCCACCTCTCTCTCTACCTTGATATATAAAGCCCCCTCTTTACAGAGGACAGAAGATTTCTCTATTTCTTAACCTTCTGGCAGGTTCGTGGACATTAAAAGAAAAAGTTCTTTAAAATGCTACAACAGCAAATTTAGCTTTACTAATAAATGACCTTTCAAAGAAGCCATTTTATTTAATTAGTTACAAGCATTTAAAAAGCCATTTGATTTCCTGGAATGTACATCCATCAACTTGAGGTCAGCAGTTAGGAGTTATTCCTAACAGTCTCTTTTTTACCTGTAAAAATTATGTTGTATTCTGCTCTGTTGGAGTCAAATATAACAAATGCAGCCATGGCATAAAGTCAGTGGGGCTGGGAGATGGAGTTATGAACAGCATTGTTGTTGGAAAGGGGATTCTAGACGGGGGTCACCTGAGCCCTGCAGGGTCTGAGAAACCAGTTTGTCATTCACTTGCTGGAGAGTTTTATTTGGAAACCTGAGATGGAGCTGGAGACCTACCCTTGGGTGTGTAGTAATCTCTCTTAGTTGGAAAGCTTTCTAGGGACCTGTTTTCTCAGTATTCCTCTCCTAGCACTTGTCGTACATGCTCATTCAGAGTAGCCTGAAAGGCTTGCATTTGTGAAACATCCTGTGTCAGCACCGAGTGAGTGTAAAGTGGTGGCCCCTGGTTTTGCACAGCAGGCTCCAGTTTCACAATGACTTGTTCACATGTCACTAAGCAGCGTCCACTCCCGGGAAGGGGAGGAAAGCACTATTCTTCTTCCGTGCATTCCCTGTAATGGGACAGACACATCCCAGTAACTGCACTCCCCAAGACACAGATGGAGGCCAGTCAGTAACTTTCAAAGGAAAGAATGAAGGTGGGTGTTTTATTAAAAGAAGAAACAATCTGGCTGTGCCTGGGAAGAGGTGGGAGAAATGTTCCTTTTTACAGGAGCTCTGCCTAAGCTTTTGCTTCCTTTTTCTGCATTTCAGAGCCTCCCTGCAGATATTTATGGGACATTTCTCCTCTCTCCCATAACTTCCACTCTTTCACCCTCTGTTTAGTAGGGCCATTAAGCTCAAGCTTAGGTGCTCACGGGAAGGTCAGGGTGGGGGGTATGTTTTGCAGTGGGAACCAGGACACAGTCTCCTCCTCCAGCTTAATTTATGGAAATCACTGCAGGAAAGCCCTCAGCACACAGGCAACGGGCACTCAGATGTGCTGCACAGCTCCCAGCACCTGCCTGGGGTTGAGTTACCCTGGAACACATCCCTTGAACATTGTGTACCTATCTCTTCTACTCCTTCATGAATAAATAAAGTATCTGGTGGGTCAGATGTTGTAGAAAAAATACCTGGGCAATGAGAATTATAATACCTGCCTCTAAGGATCACATGGGGTTAAAAAAAGAAAGGAGAAAGTAAGTGCTTTGCGAAGAACCTGGCATATTCTAGGTCATCAAGTACTGTATTGAGGGTTTTTTTTAAGAACTTTTATTTTCTTGCATTGGTTAAAAAAAAATAAGGAAAGAATGTAATCTTAAATTTTTACTTACTTAATTTCCAAAACCAACAAAGAAAAATACTTCTTATCAGTGTACAGTCAGAGATAGGATAATTCTGGAATAGCAAAAACAATAAAAAATCTTCATTCCATAGTATTTTGTATAAGAATGACATCGAAAGGAACAGAAAAACATAAGGTCAGTTTTTCCATCCCTTCAGAAATAATTTCACAATGTTGTCAAGAGCTGGGAAAGGCAAAATATGCCAACATGTTTTAAATGGAAGGTGTATAGGTAAATGTTAGAGTAATGAAGAAGAGAAGTGGAAATATAACCTAAACATAACATGGGTTTGCGATGTGAGAAAAACACTTTATTGAATTCTCTTTATGAAGAATGTATATAAGTCACTGCCACAGATTGGGTGGTATGTTGCTGTGGTGTAATTGTTTAAAGCAAAACTATTTGAAATAAAGGATATTGGTCTAGTATAAAGAAAGAGGTTGCCCATCAATGATGACCAATATAGCCCGGCCTTCTAAACCATCAAAGGAAGAGTGCTTTTTATTTAGCCTAAACGAGTGCTTTTTCTAAGAACTTTTTGTTTCATTTTCTTTGGGTTTTTTTTTGGTGAGGAAGATTGTCGCTGAGTTAACATCTGTGCCAGTCTTCCTTTATTTTATATGGGACGCCACCACAGCATGGCTTGATGAGTGGTGTGTAGGTCTGCGCTGGGGATCTGAACCGGTGAACTCTGGGCTGCTAAAGTGCAGGGTGTGAACTTAACCACTATGCCACTGGGCCAGTCCCTCATTTCATTTTTTGAACACTGGCAATCTGTTGTTAGCATGTAGTGCTTATCTGTTAAGCAAAATACTGACAATAGGAAACCCTCTTCCCTTCCATGTTGAGTAACAGAGTTCATTGTTCTCAGGAAATTTGTTTTCCCAGCATTTGTCTTGTAGTAGAATTCATTCTCAGGCTATGATATACCATCTAATGGAGGAAATTTAATTAGCAACTGAAAATTATGGATGATATTTCCTAACACAATTAAACATAAAGTAGAACCCCTAGTACATTTCTTTTGCTTTTATTTTGAAACAATCACAAACCTACCAATAAGTGGCAAATCCAGTACAGAGAATTTTTTCTCCTAAGCCATTTAAAGATAGATTGTCAATCTGATGTGCCATCACCCCCAGATGCCTTAGTGTGTGTTTCCTACAATGCTATTCTCCTTTGTAACCATTGTGCAACCATCAAAATCAGGAAATTTTCATTGTTCTGTTACTGCCATTCAGGATCCTTCAGTTTTCCCAATAATGTCCTTTTTCGCAACAGGGGCCAGATCAGAATCATACATTGCAGTGTGTTCTCAAGTCTCTTTGGTCCCTTTCAGTCTGGAACAATTCCTTAGTCTTTCTTTGGCTTTCATCCTCTTAACACTTTTGAAGATTGCAGCCCAGTTATTTTGTAAAATGTCCTTCTGTGTGGGGCATCTGATGTTTCCTCATAAATAGACTCAGGCGATGCATCTGTGGCAGGAATCAGAAGTGATGGTGTGTTTGCGTCACATTTTATTGGGTCTCATTACGTATGGTGCTCATTACTATTATGGTGCTGGCCACTAGGCTTTTCCACTTTGAAATTACTATTTTCCTCTTTGTAATTAATCCATGCTTTGTGGAGAGGTGCTTTGGAACTAGGCAAATATCCTGTTTCTCATAAATCTTTCAATATATTCGTTTACTTATTTATATCTACATGGTCTTGTATTTTCCTGTTCTCTTCGATAGATCATAAACCATTGCCATCACTGCTTATTTTGATGCCCGTATGATCTCAGGTTTGTCCAGTACATGCCCCTTCAGCTGGCTTCTGTACCTTTTGAGGTGTCCCCACCGTTCTTTGAGCACTTCTTTGCTTTCTGGCACAGCGAGATCTTTCAGGCTCCTCGTGTGCTCTCCCTGCCCTAAAAGCAGCCGTCTCACCAGGGAGCCCTGTTTTTTTAGTGAAGAATGGCACTTAAGGGTGAGATCTTGGCTTTAGGTCTCTTCATGGCTGCTGGGGGGTTAGTACTCCAAGGCAAGGCCCACACACATTTATGTCTGCATTTATTTTCATATATACTTACATAATAAACGCCATGACTTCATACTGATATTTCTATTTCCAACCATAGGTTTCGTGCTGCTTTTCTCCTTTTCATGGTGGCTCCCTTGACCAATAGTGAAAAAAATTTAGCCCCTGTGATCTTCAACATATTTACTTATTTGATGAATCCCTGTGTGTAAACAGTCTCCTATTTCAGTTGCCACTTGCTCCACCTGCACAGGTGCCTTCTCACTTGGCCCAACTTCCTCCCCTTTGAGGCCTGTCCCCATCCCCCAGCTCAGGCTCTGACACCCCATCCAAGTGAGGGTGTCCCCTCCCCCAACTCAGGCTCTGATGCCCCATCCATGTGAGGGTATCTACGCCCCCAGCTCAGGATCTGTTACTCCATCCATTTGAGGGTTTCCCCTCCCCCAGCTCAGGTTCTGGCATTCCATCCATGTGAGGGTTTCCCCTCCCCCAGCTCAGGTTCTGGCACTCCATCCATGTGAGGGTATCCCCTCCCCTAGCTCAGGATCTGTTACTCCATCCATGTGAGGGTGTCCCCTTCCCCAGCTCAGGCTCTATCCCATCTGCTTGACTTTCTCCACTGTAGATACTCCTGGCACGTGGCCTAACTTCGTCACCCTGTGAAAATTCAGCTTCCCCCATCCCCTGGGGGTGTAGATGCTTCCTTGCTCTGCCTTGCCTGATGGCTGGGCACTGAGTTATTCAGGAAGGAAGGGAAAGGACAAGAAGGCAGAGAGGAAGAGGAAGCGAAGGAGCACATTCAAAGAGTTTATTTGTAGAAGAGAAAGTGATTCTTTCCAGTTCCTCTCTGTGATTCCCTTTGTACTGGTCACGGCAACTTTCCTTCTAATTCTTTTCTTTGTTTTTTCCTAACTGGATTTCAAAGAAAAGTTTTTCTGGAATCTGAGATTATTAAGGGAGTCTGGAATCCCTTAATAAAAAAGGGAAGAAAATAGGTAACAATCAGGAAACTTAAAAAAAAAGCAGTTTTATATTGTCTATGTAAGAAGAATATTTTATTTATCTA